CTGGAGGCCGCTCACTGTGGCTGCTGGCTACACACGGTAGCCCATGGCAACCCACTGCCACAGGGACTGCAGCCTAGCCGTCGCTGGCGACTCATGGCAGCCCAGCTCCAGGTTGAGCTGTTGTTCAGCATCTCAGCTGTGGAGGGCAGTGTCACTGGCCCTCATAGGTGGGATCTGAACTGGGGCCCTCTGGCGTCCCAAGCCAGTTCTTAACCATCGCGCCACTCGGCCGGCCCTTAGCAGATATCTTTGATATGCTGACTCCATGTGTGGCTCAGTGCTAGCTGGCGTTGGGACTATGTGTGTAAAGTCTGTGATGACAAAGTCTCTGGCCCTCAGTGACTTAAAGTCCCTATGGAGATTCTGAGGTAGGGACGGCAGTGCTAGCTGGGGGCCATGCTGATCTGGTTCCCAGTGGGATTAACATTTGAGATTGACTCAGAAGGGTGGGCGGGATTAGTGCTCAAGGTATCAAGGATAAGGCCACTTTGGGAGTGTGGCCGGCTCATGGAGGGTTTTAAGCGAGGCAGACACTCAAGGTGTTTTATGGAGATCAGTAAGGAGTGGTGTTGGGAATAGGTTCTGTGGTTTTGGGGAATGCTGGGGAAGGAACCAGGAAGTGTAGGGAGGCAGCAAAAAAAGTTATGTCAGCATTTTCAATGATTGGTAGTAAGTGAGATTCCAAAATTATGTTTCCAGAGGAATGGAGAATTGGGGAGAGTGATGAACTGTGGCACAATGGACTAGAGTTGGTACCGGGCTGACTGCGGGAATGGTGGTGTGTAGAGAGAAGTCAGGCTGTGGTGGGTTTAAAACCTGCAGAGGTAGCCTCAGACCGCAGTCTGTCCATTCGGCCTCCTTGCCTAGACACGGGCTTCTGGAAGGTAGGAATAGCAGTGCCCAATCTCAGCTAGGTTCTCGCTGAGCCTGATGGGTGGATGAGTGAACCGATGCATGAACAGATTGTGTCCCACACTAGCTGGGTCTTTGAGGGAAATGCATAGGAACACAATTCCTTTTTCTACAGTTTTTACCAGTTTTTTTTTTTTTAAAGTTGAACAATACAATCAAATTTGTAGCTTGGTGTAGTGCTAGACAAGAATTTTGAAGGGTGTTTATGATTTTTACAGTAGCAGGTAACTTACTTAAGGGCTATTTTTTCCTTTTTAAGCATTTTCACATGCTTATTTCAGTTGCCTCCTGTATTGGTTAGGATTAGGTTTGCCTGTGGGTCCCAGAACACCCATGTTAAAGCTGCTTACACAAGGGAGTTTACTTTTCTCTCATGCAAAAATCCTTGTAAGGCTCTGTCTTGGCTTCCTAGGGCTTCTGTAATTAAGTGGCACAAACTTGGGTGGCTTAAAAAACCAGAAATTTATTGTTTCACGGTTTTTGAGGCCAGAAGTCTGAAGTCAAGGTGTCAGCATGCCATGATCTCTCTGAAACCTGTAGGGGAGGATTTTTCCTTGCCCCTTCCAGCTTCTGGTGGTTGCTGACAAACCCTGGCTTTCCTTGGCTTATAACTACATCACTCCAGTGTCCGCCTTCACCATCCCATGGCTGTTTCCTCCCTGTGTGTCTCTCTTCTCTTCTTATAAGGACACCAGTCACAGTGGTTTAGGGCCCATCATATGCCAGTGTGACCTCACCTTAATCAATTGCATCTGCAATGACCCTCTTTCCAAATGAAGTCACATTTTGAGTTAACTGGGGTTAGGACTTCAGCGTATCTTTTTTGGGGGACAATTCACCTCATAACAAGTTCCATGGCTAGCATGATCCTTCATGGTGTTAGGGATCCACACTCTTTCCTGTTACTCCACTGTGTGTGGCCTTGAGCACCCGGCAGCCTCCAGGGCCTGGGCTGTGGGTAGAGGAAGGTTCCCAGACGTCGTCACTTTCCACTGGCCTGAATTTAGTTACATGGCAATACTTAGCTGCGTGGGAGGCAGGGGAGAGAGGGCCTCCTTGTAGACTGCCATGTGCCAGGTAAAAACTGGGTTTTGGTACCGCAGAAGAATGAGCAGATTTTGAAGACGGCCAGCTGTCTCTGCCACATATTCAGTTTTTTTTTTTTTGGGGGGGTAGGGGGTGGTCTCAGCCGTTTATTCAGTTTCTGTACCATTATAGCTTTCCTCATTGAATTATGTCTAGCATTTGCAGATTAAGAGGAAGTTTTTCTATATATCATTGTGTTAGATTTGTAATGGTTACCAGGACTGTTTTATTCCGCTAAATGGTATTGAATAGCCCCTAACTAGTGTGGAAAATAGCAAGAAGTGGACGATATGGCCATTCCTGCTGTCAAGGAGAGGGCATTTATCTACTAAGGAGAAAAGACAAGTGACTGTGAAAAGATGCTTATAAAATATTTTTTCTAAGAGCTAGAAAGTTAGGTGCGTTTTCATTTGAGAACAATCACTTAAGTGATCGTTAATAACAAGTGGTGATATATTGATTTGACACACAGGAAGAGACAAGCAGAGTGTAATACTTCAGTGTCCAGCGAAAGGTCAGAACAAACACGCAGCAGAGCCAGGACTGTCGTTCGGAGCCCTGCCGTTGGCCTGCATTCCCGTCTGGGCTGCTGCGCCAGCTCGGTTCCTGAGGGCCCGGGAGTGGCCTTCGTCTTTGTGTTCCAGCATGTCCCATGGGTGCTTGGCACATCGTGGGATTCAGTAAATATTTATGGAATCATTTCCTACCAGCTCCTGTGTTTATTGTTAGTAACACAAAAGTAAAACAATAAAAATGCCCAGGTTCTAAATGTGTTCAAGTTTGGAGCCATATTTTCTCTTTAGGGAGGATCTAGTAAGTACACTTGTGCAGAAAGTTACAAAGAGAGCCTTGTAGCCATGAATACTCTACTGTATCTATAGTATATGTATAATACTATACATAAGTGTATTATAGACTATAAAATATAAATATATAAAATAGGTACTATAAGATATACAGTTGACCCTTGAACAACACACGGGTTAGAGGCACTGAGTCCCCGCACAGTCGAAAATCCACAGAGGACTTTTGACTCCCCCAAAACTTAACTACTTGTAGCCTAGAAGTTTGATTGGAAGCCTTACCAATAACGTAAACAGTCAATTAACACACATTTTATATGTTGTATGTATTATATACTGTATTCTTACAATAAAGTAAGCTAGAGAAAAGAAAATGTTATTGAGAAAAATCATACAGAAGAGGAAAATAAATACATTTACAGTATTGAAAAAAAATCCATGTGCAAGTGGACCCACACAGTTCAAACCCGTGTTGTTCAAGGGTCAAGTGTACTATATGTGATATAGTATGTTCTGGTGTGAACCACCACTTTAAATACAGTTGGTAAAATGATATGTAGGCTGTGTAAAGTTTTATACCACACATTTTAGGAAAGCAGTTATTTTTGTTTGTGCTTTTTGCTCCTCCAGTTTAAACAATCGGTATTTTTTCTTTTTCTGTAGAACTTTCTGTTGCTTGATGAGATAAAACAGCGCAACGCTCAGCTGCCATCAGACGGTAAAACAATAGTGCATGTGCAAGATTTTACTGCTTTTTGGGATAAGGTAACATATCCTCCATTATAAGATTGTGACTGCTAAAAGACAACTGGTGACATAAATTTAATAAGAGTTTTGAACTTTTTACACATGGTATAAAATGTGACTTGCTCATTTACTGACAGTATGTTTTAAAAATTCTCAAAATCAGAAATAAGCTTTGCAATTAATAGAGATTAAGTAAAATCAGCCTAAGGCATTTGACATGTTTTATCTCATTTTTAAGAGGATTTTCAAAGTGTTACCACATTTTGAACTTAAATTACATAAGTTTATAATGTTAGAATTTACAGGATTAGAGTGTACATTTTTTACCTTGATGTTATCAGACCATCTACCACACATTGAGTGGAACCATGAGTTGGGTCTTTGCTTTGTGGTAGGGTGGTGGCTCCCCTATTTTAAGCTTCTGGGTGGTGCTGGCTACTTTAGTGGCAGCCAAGAGCAGGGAGGAGGCAGCAGGCGGGCATAGTAAGTGCCAGTGAGTCCCAAGGTTTACACTATGTGGCAAGCTAGGATAGGTAGGACTGGTGAGGTCACAAGGATTTTTCCAACACTTGGTTTAGGCAAATGGGGGAAAAAGAAACCAGGGACCACTTTCAAGAAGTTGTCAAACTTGCGCACTCAGTGCCCCCTTTATTGACAACTGAAATACTTTTCTCCCCTGGCTCCATGGTCCTCCATGCACATCCTTCTGTATAGGCCTGAGTGAGTCAGGAAATCAGAACCCACACCACAGGAGAGAATTTCATGAGGGGAATTAGTTACATAGATGGTGGGTGATGTCACCCAGAGATTAGCATGGCAGGAAGCTGCTCCCACCCTAGGGCCGAAGGACACAGGGAGGAGGTGGTGTTTACCAGAGGGCCAACTGTCGGAGCAGAACCCAGGAACCTGGCTGCCAGGAGTGGGGACTACTGTGTGAAGGGCTGTTAGGTTGATGCTGGCACTGCAGAGGTGATGTGACCACAGCGGAAAGGCTTGTTAGAAGCTGGTGGAGGTACTGTGGGTACCAGCTTCTCCCTCTCCTGCCTCCTGGCCTCACGCAGTGCTCTCTAGGGCTGAACTGGAGTAGACTCGAAAGTTTGCAGAATCTGGCAGCTCTGAGCATAGCAGGGGAACGGAGCCTAGAGCAAACAGGCGTTTCACCAGAACTCCGTCCCCCTGCCATCTCCACCAAAACAGTAGTGTATCCATCCCCAAATATATAAAACCACATCATTGCACCTCTTGCACATGGAAGCTCATACAAGCTGCCTTAGCTAATCTGCCCTACCTTAATAAGGTAAATTTACCTCCTGCTTTGATTGCTCATCATGATACATTGTAAGCATATATAGAAAGTACCATTAAAATTCCATTAAATAGGGGCCGGCCACAAACCCCCTCAAGAGTGCGAGCTCTTAGCAACAGCGGTTCTAGTCCCGGCCTGAGCTGAGCTGCCAACAGGTAGCAGGATGGCTCAGCTAAAAAAAAAATTCCATGATATAGATGTATTCTATTGACTGCTTTGAGTGAGATGAAACACTGAGGTAGCTAACACACACACTTTGTATAACTCATGATCAGAATTCTTTTGTACCAAACTATGCAACATTGTAAAATGAGCTGTTTTGTTCTTCTGAGAACTTAATAACATGTTCTCAGACTTTGTTTTTTTTGCAGCTTGCATTGTTGTACAGAACGCCCTATTCTGTTGTGCTGGCCTTGCCTATGGGAGGATTGTGCACGGTGCTAGGGGGGTATTTAGGGGGTGTCAGATTAGGTCATGGATCTGAGAGGGAGATGAGGGGGGAGAGAGAGGCCTCAGGTGGGGGAGGGCGCAGACATTGCTGGTTAGAGAGAAGCTGAGGCAAGATGAAGTACATGCTGGGTTGCTATGTAGGAGAAAGAGATGGACTCTAAGCAGCTCTACTAGACAGCCAGGCAGGTAGGTGGGGATGGGGGAAGGTCTTCTCACCGACTGGCATTTCATTCATAAAATGAAGAAGGACTTGGCATCAATCTCTAGGCTTTAAAATTTATAGTCCAGTTGGGAACCTCTACATCTCCACGGGGCCGGGGTTTTTGTCTGTGTGATTGACTGATGCATCCCCAGGGCCTAGACGATGTCTGACACAGAGACTGAGGGCTCAGTCTATGATCTTGGTCGCTTGAGCAACAGCCGAATCAGGATAACTAGGACATCAAGGGGCCCTAGCACCCCTGAGCTATTGAATGCTGCCCCCTTCTGGTCACGCTAGAGCAGTGCCTGATCCTGAAACCTTCACAGGGAAGGAACTGCCTGTCTGGCCCAAGGAACTGGTGCCAGGACAGGAAGCTGATGTTTGTATGTGGCTCATTATTTTGCAGTCAAAACTTGAGTAAAAATAGTAACATAGGAACTAGTTATTAGACATGAAAAAAGTGAAGAAGCTTAAAAAAATGTTTCTCCTGTATTAAAATCCAGATTCTTATTAATAGTTTTTAGTCATTCCTGTAAAGGCTGGGGCTGGTTTTCTTGTGATTAAAAATAATTGTCATTATTTTAGTATGTGACCATCCTTAAGTCAATTCAATTATTTCCAAAGACATTTTTCATTTTGAAGATTATCCAGATCTTTTATTTAAAGCCGTGTGCTTTTTTTAGTCTTTGGGTCATTTTAGTAATCACACATATCCACTCATTCTTTTTTTTTTTTTTAAAGTTTTTTTTTAACAGCAGTTATTGAGAATTTTCTTCACACTTACTATGTGTAAAAACATACATATCCCCTGACTCTCTTTATCTTAGAATTTATCAATTGCTCTAGGACATGACTTGTCATTAGCACGATGAGTACTTTATCCTTCGGCCCCCTTGCATTGGAGTGTATGCTGTTGCCCACACTCTGTTTTTACAGTAGAAGTACTTGGTTGTCCCTGTTTAGCCAGGGCAAGTAGTGCGTGCTCCAGGTAAAAATCTGAGACTCTCTCGCCCTGACTTCTGATATGACACTTAATTTCTTTAGTCCCTATTTTCATTGTTGTTACATTAGATCTCTGATTACTGCCTTGACCACAGTTTATAGGAATTTATTTGCCAAGAGGGCCCTTATTTGGAAGGGCCCTCTTGCTCGCTGAACGTTTCTGAGATGCATCCTTTATCAAGTCAAAATGGGGAGATGAGTGGAGATTTCAAATTCTTTATTAGGAAAGGCCTAGCATGCCATGTACATATGCTGCCACCTCGTGGACATTAATGAAATAGGAGATTAAAACCAAGGGTGATCATGAAAACATAAATTATTAAAAACCACCCACCCCGAATGTCCTATTAAGTATATTAAATAAGTCAGTGAGCATCAAGAAGGTGCCTTGTCATTTTCACTACTTAAATTCTGTGTCAAGAGCTGTGTCTGTATAAAAATCTGGTAAAAGAATGGGCCTTCCAAAAGGAAACTTAAAGTTACTTCAAATCCCCCATAGAGCTATGATTGGCTGAAAAGGACTCCAGGACACAATATCTTAAAATAAGAAGGAGAAAGATGTGGGTTATATTCATGTATCAGTGCCTGTTTCATTATTTTCTGCACTTTTTGAAGTGATGTGTGTTATGTTATTGAAATGGGTACATTTTTGTAAACTTTCATTTGCAGGCATCAGAAACCCCAACCCTACAAAGTCTTTCCTTTACTGTCAGACCCGGTGACTTGTTAGTTGTGGTCGGACCTGTGGGAGCAGGAAAGGTAAGCTGTGATGCCTTTTGGCAGCTTGATGTCATATTACATTCCATCTTAAATTCTCGGGGTTGAGCCCAAAGCTATATGTGACATAGGTCTGAATTGGGTGGATCTAGAATGGCATTTCTGAAAGTGCGTCCCATGGAATGTTAGATTTGCAAGAAGGTTGCATGGCTAAATAAACCTGGATAAGACACATTATGATGTTTTACTTCCTGTTGATTCAAGTTGCACAGTTGGGAACTGCTTGTCTGGAAGTTAGCCATCTCAGTGAAGGAAATTATTGAAGTGACAGCTATTCAGGATGGAATGACTGAGAAATGGGAACTTCTTTTTGTCAGAGCAGACCCTAAAGAGTCTGGACGTTGTAAAGGCTCTTCCAGAAAGCTTTAAACATTTCCTAATAGGACTGATGCAAGTTACATCAACACATTCAGTAAATATGCAGCCATATGTGTGGCACTGTGCTGGGAGCAAAGACACAGCTATAAGCATAGACCCAGATGCTTTTGCCCTCCAGAAGAAAGCAGGTTCCCAAGGTGAGACAGACAAACAGATTATATCAGCTCTGTGTTACCAGCACTCTGATCATGTACACACAGACATACCATCTCTATGTTTTAACAGACTTAAAGAAAATGTGCTTGCACACTTAGCCTAACATGTTCTGAAACAACAACATAAAATCCTAAACATGGGCTGTATAAATGATTGGGGGAATTATTTCTCTCATGGATTTTTTGCTCTTCAGAAACATGACTCACTTTAGATTCCCTTTAAATAATCTTTTCTGGTGCATTGGATGTAAATACGTAGGCATAGCTTTTCAGGAGCAAGTCTTTGTCAAGTAAAGGGTCCTTGGTTGCTGGGACAACTGCATTAAACATCAGACATATGAAATACTATATTGTGCCGGGCTGCTCTGTTAGTTAAGAATGTTAACCATTCTTAATTAGTTCCTGTTGAGTACAGCAGTTCATTTGGAGGAAAACTTGGGCAGAGTAGATTGTTATACTCTATTGTATTACTCTTCTTTATCAACCATTAGTTTACACTGACCAATAATGTTATTTTTCAGTTTTTTAATTGCAGCTTCCAGGATTGTACTTTTTTCCTGTTTGAAACAAAAGGGCTGTAACGTTGATCAACCGTCAGGGCCGGGGAAGGCTGCATTGCAGTGACTTATTCTGTCCTGAGTGTTGCCTGTACACGTTTCTGTTTTGCAATCTGTTTCAGTCATCACTGTTAAATGCTGTGCTGGGGGAACTGCCCCCGAGCCAGGGGCTGGTCAATGTGCATGGAAGAATCGCCTATGTTTCTCAGCAGCCCTGGGTGTTTTCAGGAACTGTGAGGAGTAATATTTTATTTGGGAAGAAATATGAAAAGGAACGATATGAACAAGTAATCAAGGCTTGTGCTTTGAAAAAGGTGAGTAATGACTTTTGAGTTGCATACACTCGAATTTCAAATAATCATAATAGTGTTGGTTTAAACTACAAGTTTGTTAAAAGTGTATTCTTCAACGAGAAAGATGTTTGAGCACTATTTAATACTTTAAGCTTGTCTTCAGTGTAAATACACGTGTGCACACATACACCACTGTCTTTATCATGGTGTGATAATGGCATTCACAGAAGGCTTTTTTTTTTTTTTTTAGTTTTGTTTTATTTTGGGAAGGTTTATTCACATTTAACCTGTTTTTAAGTGGACAGTTATAAAAATTTGCAAAAGTAGAGAGAATAGTGTCATGAACCCAGATGCACCAAGCCCCGTTTCATCTCTACCCCTGCTCTCTAGACCCATCCCCATCCCAAATATTCTGAAGTCAATCCTAGACCTCATATTAATTAGTTCATCTGTAAACATTCCATTGGCCACTTCTAAAATATAAGCCAGCCTTTGAAAAAAATACCACGCTATCACACCTGAACAATGACCAAAATTCCTTAATATCATCAATGTACTTGTCGGTATTTACATGTTGTTGATTATCTCACTAAGAAATCTTAACCATTGGTTCAACTCAGACTCCACCCACATAAGGTCTGCACTTTGTACTTGGTTGATTGTCTCCTAGGTTCCTTTCATTCTATGGGTTTCCTCTCCACTTTTGTTTTGACTTGCAATTTATTATTTGAAGAAAGTGGAATGTTTTAAAATTCTTTTTTTTTTGTTTTTAAGATTTTTATTGGGGAATTTGGGGAAGGGGAACAGACAAGTTGCTGTCCTTTTGTTCTTCAGTCTAGCTGTGGAGGACATTGCTTCACTGGCCCAAGTTGGCACCATCATTGAGCTCTTCCCGGGAAAGGCAGATCAGTATCTGGCTTCTGGACGGCCAGTCACGGCGGCTGCTGGCCGCTCACGATAGCCCATGGCAACCCACTGCCACAGGGGCTGCAGCTTACGCTGTCGCCCGCTACTCACGGCAGCCCACGCTGTCGCCCGCTACTCACGGCAGCCCAGCTCCAGGTTGAACTGTTGTTCAGCATCTTAGCTGTAGAGGGCAGTGTCACTGGCCCTCATATGTCGGATCCGAACCGGGGCCTCTGGCGTCCCAAGCCAGCTCTTAACCAATGCGCCACTCAGCTGGCCCTAGATTTCTTTTTAATACTGCATCTTTTTCACTGCACCTTATTCAGAAAATAACATTGAGCTTCGTAGAAAATGGCAGGATGAAATGTTTAATTGTACATTGAAATTTAAATAAAATTAGTGAATGAATGATGAAAATGGAACTTACCTGATAGAATATAATTTGCCAAAGAGGAAAAAAAAGTAAATACCAATAAATATTATGTTACTTTCTTTGGGTTATAACAATCAGTATGGATAATAGTGTTAAAGGGCTCTCCCTGGGGTCTGGTCAGTGTAGTCTGGACACCCGACTGTTCTTTTATGCTGTGTGGGAAAGGCTGGGATGGACATTCAAAGGTGAGGTGTGGAAGGCTCCAAGCCAGCTTTGTGAGGAAATAGTAATTTTGCTTGAACAATGGCCTGAACATCATAGACTGTATCAGATGAGTAGCATTTTGTGAGGATGTGAACAAAACATAATTGCTTGTTTAGTGAGCTTTTATTTCTTTTTTCTGGATTATTGTTAATGAGAGATTATGTATTTTTAGAAATGACATCAAGTTAACAGTTACGAGCTAGATTCTCATTAAACAATATGTATACTGTATAAAAAAAGAAGGAAAAAAATGTAATGCAGTAATAATAATAGCTCCGATTTATTCAGAGCCCACATGCTAATCATTTCTCTCTTACACACACACACACACACACACACACACACACACACAAAGGTTTATGAGTGTTTAATCTTTACCAGTGTCTTCCGTGTTCTGTCCTCATTTTATAGTTTATAAAACTGTGGTTAGAGAGATGGAACAACTCACCTAAAGATTTGCAGCTCAGGTTCAGATCTGTGTCTAAACGACTCAAGATTCTATGCTTTTTTATGGTGCTTTGCTTCCTCTCCATTGAGAAAGTTTATAAGGAAGACCTATTATAAGAACTGGGTGGTCCATGAAGGTGGAATGTGGAATAAACAGATCTGAGGCATTTCTTCTTTACCTTAAATTCAAGTCTTGACTGATGCTCAGATCAGACTCCAAAGAGCTAGGCCAGTATCTGGCTGTTTCTTTGCATGACCTTGCCTTTCTGGTGATAGCTCAATCCTGTCTTTTCTGCTCCCCCATATTTGAATGCCTCTGGACAAAAGTAGGGTTGGGAAAGTGGCTGCTGGTCAGCATTTTCCCCAGGAATCGATGCTTTTGCCAGAGCCCTATGAGATGACTGACCAGTGATGGGGGCAGTGTTCTGGGCTTCGCCTACCCTCGGGCCTCTGTGTGGCACAGGGGGACCTTGCAGGGTTGGGTTGCAGTGATTCTTCTGTACACGAGTTGACCTACAAACATGGACTGTATCACACGGGGACGTGGAGTCAGGGCCTTGGCTGGAAGGGAGGCCCAGGGTGGAGAAGCAGTAAAGAGCCCTGGCTTTGTCACTTGCCCACTGTTGCTTTGGACCTGTCCTATTACTTTCATGGGCCTCTGACGTTTCTGCTGCAAAATGAGAATATTGGGTCAGAAGGTTTCCAAGAGGTTTTGCTGCTGTTCTGAAGTGCCATCGGTGACTCTGGTTAACAGGGAGTCACAAAGTTTTTGAGACACAAGGGAATCACTTAATGAGTTCCAAAGTCCTTTTCTTATCTCCTTTTGGAATCCCTGTGTCAGTGGGTGGGCATAGATGGCCCTAGATAATTGGGGAATTCTGGAATTATTTGGCCCTTAGATACAGAGACTGCACATGTAGTAGAAGCAGCGAAGTCGTGGGCTTGGGAGAGAAATAGTCCTGCAGAGTTATTCAAGGCGTTCGTCTCAGGTTCTTTTCTTATTAAATGGAGGAGGGATGGGATTATTGTGAAGACTACAGATAATGCCTGTAAAATGCAAACACCCCAGGTTTTTAGTAAATGGTAGCTATTATTGCTATTATAGCCCTTTTCTCAAAATATATACAACCATACATCCATACATACATATAAATAAAGATTTCTCCTTAGGCCCTCCCCATCCCTAAATTCTGGAGGAAAAAAACCAGCATGTTTCTTGTATTACCTATATTAATAACAATTAGATGTATTATACTAGATCTGATTGAAGTAAACTTTTAAGTTCATTGAGCTGAAACCATTTCTGTAATAAAATAGGATGTACAAACTCATCATCTCTAGCATCATCGATTTAGGCTGATGACGTATTCAGAGTAACACTGTTTGTTATGGAACATACCGTAGGGAACAACATAACAATGTCAGGCGCCCGAGGGGTGGTGTTTGAACTCTAGGGCCCCGGAGCCAGACAGCTCTGGGATTGAGTCTCAATTTCTCTATTTGGTGTGTGATTTTGGCTGATTGTCTGGACCTTACAAAGCCTCAGTTTCTTTACCTGGAAAGTGGCGATAATTAAACTATCAGTCTCAAAAGGCTGTTTTGAGGGTGAAATGTAGTAATGATTTTAAAGTGTCTGATTGCTAGGGACATAACAAGCACTCTGTACATGTTAAAATAATGTTAAAGAAATAGCTCTTAATTGTAAGAGCAGCCAATTTTGGGGTAAAAGCACATCCATAAAATGTGGCGGGTTAGAAAGAAGGTGTTTGAGTATATAACTTCTTTTTTACATAGGTGCTTCAGACATGGTACGTTACATAAATCAACAAGAAATATGCATTAGCATACTTTAAGCAATATATTATGTAACATTAGTCTGCATGTTATCTTTTATCACTGAAGACTTTTTAAAATTTTAGGTAGTACATGTTCAAAGGTATAGCATTGATAGCCATGATTTCTTATTTTCTATTATGTCATGGGCAAGTGATATAGTTATCCCAATTGAGAGATGAAAAATAAAAATATAACAATAATAATTCTCATTATTAAGGCAGTCTGAAAAGAAAAATGTCCAAGTTGGCAGGAATGTGGTAAATATGAGAAGAAATTATAAGCTTGTGGGTATGCAAAGGGGTTTGTAAATTCAAGTGATCTACGTGAGAAAATAATTAAACTAGAATTTATCATTGCTATCAAGGTAAGAATAGTTTCCTGTCGTTAGGAGGAATTGTAATATGTGCTCAACTCAGGCTTTTCCTGCTAGCCAAATCAGAAAATTGTGGTTAGGAAATTAGTCTGACTTGGGTGTTCCTTCAAATCCTTTGAAATGTTTTTCCCATCTGAGGCTTGTCTATAAATAGTTTGCAGAGTCCACAAATACACCTGAAGTCCTTCTACCAGACTTGGACAGAGAGCCCATTTCTTATTCCTAACTGTGCTAAATGAAAGAGTGAGTTTTAAGTGCTTACTTAATGTAGTGCCTGGAAAATGGCTAAGATTGTTGGGCTCCAACATAGTGCGGTTTTTGAGAAGGAACAAAACAACATAAAATCAAGGCCTAAAAACTAAGCAGAAGGACTGTCAACAATGAACTGGAGACCAAGTAAAGTGTGTGTGTGTGTGTGTGTGTATGTGTTCATTCCCAGAAGTTTGGGAACCTACCTTAAAATGGCTTATTGCTTTTTATGAAAACCAAAAAAACAAGAGATGGTACTAACTTCTGTGCTCAACAAAGACATGATATGAAATAATGAAATTTCATGATAGATCCATTACTGCCTTTCATTTGATGCAATCCTGTTCAGCTTTGAGTATACAGGGCACTCTATGTGCCTGTGTGTCTTTGTGGGCTATCAGGGTATGGGTTATGATGGAGATATTCTTTTCCTCTTTTCCTTTTGGTGGTGTGCTTTGCACATTGTGACTCCCACTGAGTCAGAATGTGAGTGGGATCCCACTGTTGGTTTGATAAAAAAATACATAAAAAAATTAACTGATGTCCTTTTTCCGTTTGTAGAATGTATGCATGCATTACTCTTTTGATTCTCATGGCATCTTTGAGTTTAGTAATTCTTGTTTCTGCAGCACATTTTGTAGAAGAAGAAAGTGAGACTTAGGGAGATCAAATGACTTGTTGGGGACCCCAAGGTGCCATTTGCTTTCTCCTCCAAATTTGCTGAAGCAGAGACAGACAATGAGGGCTTCATTTGCAGAAGGGTATTGCCGTGTATCCTTGGTTGACGCTTGAGAGGTTTAGTAGAGAACAAACTCCTCCCAAACTCTGCTTGTCAATGCTAGGACCTGTCTGGTGATATAGGCAATCTAAGTAAAGGTTTCTAATAATAATAATGTATAACTTATCTGATTATTATCCTGTCGGTTTGGAAATGTTCTTGTCATCTTTTTTTCCCCTAGGTATTGCAATTCGTCCATTTATTTCTTAAATAGTGGCCAAGTATAACTTTTGATAGATTCCCATGCCCTCAAATCCTTCTTAACTTTGAGTTTTTCCTGGCTCGCATGGGACAAGCCTCTCCTTACTTCAGCTGACCTGCTCAGTGTCCCTCAAATGCACTGGTTTTTCTTTGGTTTCTCCTCCCAGACTGCTCTTTCTGCTCTTACTTCTTGTACAGATCCTGTCTGTCACTCTATCACTGTCTTAAATATCACTATGAAGACATGGGTCAGGTGTCATCCCCTCTCTGAAAGTGGGAAGCTGAGACTGAGTAGTTAAGACACACTATTCCTTGATGAAATCAGTCCTGTGCTGCTACAAGCCATGTGTGTGCCACCAGCTCTCACATTTGTATCTCTAGCACGGACCTTCAGACTCACATATCCAGCTGCAACTCGACAGCACCCATAGTCATCTCGGCTTGCCCATAACCAAACTCTTGATTTTATGGCCTAAATCTGCATCCATCATCTTCCTCCACTCAGTAAATGGTGACCCTGTTCTTCCCCCTTTTCATGCCCAGAACAATGCCGTCCTCCCCTTCTCTCTCAACCCACACCCATCCCACCAGCAGGTCCTATAGGTTCTACCTTTGAAATTTGTCCAGACTGTGACAACTTCTCTTCATTCCCACTGCTCCTACGTTGGTCCCTGCCACTGTCATCTTTTGCCCAGATTATTGTGGTAGCCTCCTAACTTGTATTCTGCCTTTTCCCTGCCCCTTTACCATCTGTTTACCACAGAGACACAGGAGTGATTCCTTAAAAACCTAAGCCAGATGATGTCAGCCTCCCCCCGCGTCCCCTTCCCATTCCACGTGGAGCGAAACCATGGCCTCTCCTGCTGGCGCCTCTGCCAGCCCCACATTCTTTGCTCACTGTGCTCCAGCTCTACTGGCTTCTTTGCTGGTCTCCGAACACCATGAGGGTATATTTGTCCCATGGCCTTTGCACTTGCTTATTCTTCCACATGAGACGCTTTTTCTCCAGATCTGTGCAGGTATGCTCCCCCTTCCGGCGGTTATCTATCTGCTTAAACCCCCTCTGATCGGAGCCCTTCCCGACCCCCATATAAGATGGACTTTCCCTCCTTCACTCTCTGTCCCCCTAAGCTGACTTCCTTTTTCTTCTTAGTACTTAGTACTTGTGCTCATATTAATTTTTCACATTGTCAACATTCCACCATGGAAACTCCAGAGACTGTTTTCCACTGAAATCATTGTGCCCAGAACAATGCCTGACAGTCAATGTTCAATACGTATCTATTAAAATGGTTAAATGCATAAATGCTGTGAAAAGCCACAGGGTGACAACAAAATCCCTGAGAGTTTGTTTTTTTTTAAAGGTTCAAGTTTACAATTTAGTCAGTATGAAATGTATCCATTGTTGGTGATGAAATATGTATATAAAGAACTAATGCTAAAAGTTTTAGAATGACAGAACACATTTTAAGTCTTTTTTTTTTTTTTTTCTATCCATGTAGGATTTGCAGCTTTTGGAGGATGGAGATCTAACTGTGATAGGAGATCGGGGGAGCACGCTGAGCGGAGGGCAGAAAGCTCGGGTCAACCTCGCAAGGTAAATTGCATGTTAGTTGCCATTCTGCACATGCCTCTTGGGCTGCTGATAGGGGTGATTGACATGCAGACCCCGCTTACAGTGTGTGGGCGCACAAGTCTTGGATTATTCCGTTGGCTCTTGGAATGACAATCATGTGAGTTGTTGAACGCCGTCATGATTCAGAGATGAGATCCCGGGAGCGTGAAGCATTCTTCTGTCTGATACCGCTTTATGTTTTCTAGAGCAGTATATCAGGATGCAGACATCTACCTTCTGGACGATCCTCTCAGTGCAGTAGATGCAGAGGTTGGCAAGCACTTGTTCCAACTGTGAGTTTGCTCATGTTTTCTGTCATTTTTGCTTTCCAAGAACCCAGTGGCTTGGGCTCTGGAAAGCCTCTGTGCCTCAGAAGATTGGGCTCCTTCTGCCTCGTCCCTCTTTCCCCTCCCTCCCTTCCACAGAAGACCCGTTTTAGAGAAATTTAGGGAGTTAAGAAATAAGTGGAAAGTTTTACAGAGCCCTTCCCTCCCTACCCCCCGTTTCTCCCCAACTTGCAGATAACCAAGACACTGTTGATGGACCCAGACCCCAGGTATAAGAAAGATGTACAATTTTTAAATCTACAGGTGGGACTCAGTTACCTGGTACTTGGTTGCCACTCCTTTGCCTTCATTATTTGTGGCACCTTAGAAGCAGTTCCATCACCAATACAGATCTTCCGTGAAAGACCTTGTTGGTTTACGCTTATTATTCTGTAGGTTGGAAATTCTTAGTAAAGTCCAGAATTTAAGAATGATTTGTTTGCAGCAGAGTATGGCTTCAATCATTTAATATTGCTTCATGGAGTCTTCCCAGAATTGGTAAGACCCACAAATGTAGGGTTAACTTGAATTTGAAACTGGGTATCTAGAGTCTGGCTTAACTCCACCCTCTCACTTTGTTTCTGGAATTTGTTTGCTTTGGCTTTTGCTGAGCCACTGAGCTTCTGAACTAGAACAACCTGAATCTTAATGTTTTCTGTGTATACTGTAACCTGATGTGCACTGGCTGACGCTTTCTATGTAGTCTAGGCTGGCCTTTTCAAAATGGCGTGAACTTGCTTTTGCTAAAACAGCCTCCATATCTACTCCACAGTTACCTTGCTGTGGTTTATACTTTGTTAAAGCCAGTGAGCCCTTTGAATTGCACTTATTAAAGCACGACTGTGTGCACTGAGATAGATGCTTTTGCAAATGTTATTATGCAAAACACCTTAGTTTACAAAGTAGACAGTAAGCCAGAGGGTAAGCACCCACACTGAGCAGAAGAAGGGAGATCAAGAAGTCTACATCTTGTTGTGGCCCCTAAAGAATTTGTCTCTACATGGAGTTTGTTACCACTAAAGCATGGGAAAAGTTTATTCTTAAAGCTTAAAGGGGTTTTGAGAACGGCTAACAGATGCTAAATAGGAGTAGAAGTGGGCAGCTCTAGATGGTCAGCTTAGACTGGAAAGCTTACTGTGGACTGGACTTGGCGGGAAGTACCCTGCGGTCCTGCGGGCTGGGAACGGTGTGTGGAGACTGAGAGTAGGATTCAGTTCCTTTGCCAAAGGGAATAGTGGAAGCAAAGGTGCAGAGGTCGGAAGAAGCAGGTCATGTGAAGGAACAGAAGGCACATTCTCTAGTGGAAGATGCATGTTGTACTGCAAAAGGAAAGCTACAATACTTGGAAAGGCGTGCTGTGAGGTCCTGTATGAGTTTGCTGGGGCTGTGTCTGTTCAGGCTGCTATAACAATACCAGAGACTGGGTGGCTTATAAGTAACACATTTATTTCTCTCCGTTCTGGAGGTGGGGAAGTCTAAGATCAAGGCAGATTTGAGGTCTGGTGACAACCTGCTTCCTGGTTGGTTCTTCTCTCTGCTCCTCACATGGTGGAAGGGAAAAGGTAGCTTTCTGAGGTCTTTATAAGGGCACACATCCCATTCATGAGGGCTCCCCCCTCAGGACCTGATCACTTCCAAATACCATCACGTTGGGGATTAGGTTTCAACCTGTGAATTGTGGGAGGGCACAAACGTTCAGTCTATAGCAGGCTGCCATAACAAGATACCACAGATTGGATGGCTTAATTAAATGACAGATTTATTGTCCCACAGTTCTGGAAGCTGGAGGTCCAAGACCAAGATGTCCCCAGGTTTGGTTTCTCCTAAGGCCTCTCCTTAGTTTTTGGATGGCTGTCTTCCTGCTCTGTCCTCATGTGGTCTTTCTGTTCACCTGCACCCCTGGTATCTCTCTTCTTATGTTCTAATCTGCTCTTCTTCTAAGGAAGCCAGTCAGATTGGATTAGGGCCCACCCTAAGGGCCTCATTTTAACTTAGTTACCTGGTAAAGGTCCTATCACCAAATTTTAAGGTAGAGAGCATTAAGGCCATCAACATGTGAAGTGGGGGTTTGGGCGCACTATTCATTCATAACAGGTCCAAAAGAGCGAAGTAAAGACATTCGATCAGAGCCAAGTGTGTGAAGGAGCCCTGAGCCTGTACTCGCAGAGCTGGGATTCGAGGCCACCCACTAAGCATGGCTCACGGGGTGGGTCCCCTAACATTAATCCACCAGAGTATGTATGTAAAATGTGCTTATTTATGGGGGTGATGGAAAGGTCTGGAGATGGATGGTGGTGATGGTAAAAATGGTAGTAAACTTTATTTTACATAAATTTTACCACAATTAAAGTGCACAGTACACGGAATTTTTGAGAGTGCAGAGTAGGGCCAGCTGACACTTGGCATGGCCTCCAGTTGTATGCCCTGACCTCTCTTTCCCACCCCATCCTGACTGTGACTTGATGAATCTTCCCTGAGGCAGAGAAGTGCCTGGTGGGCTCAGCCTCCTTGTTCCCAACGCTTCACCTTGAACTCCCCACGTGTCTGTCATTCTGTCTTTTGTGAGTCTGCACAAGCTCTCCCCCACTCCAAGAAAAATTTCTGCTAGTTATTGCATTCATGTCACTAGGAGGAAAGAGAAGGGTTTTAATTGCGAAGTATCAGTGCGCTTATCACAAAAGCTCTCCCAAGGTCTTCTTCGAACACAGGCGTTTTATACAGTCCTCTCGCACTTTGCGGGTTTAATGACTTTGGATATACACTTGATAGAAGCAAGCTTGTTAAAACTGTTGTTTGCTAATCAGAACCACATTCTTGAGGGAAACTTAGGGCAGGGAGCACGAATGCAATTTAGGAAACCGCTCAGCAGCAACTGGAGAATGTTCTCAACGAGTCAGAAAATTGGATTGAACAATATACTATGAACGACGGAGGCTGTGTTGAAGCTTAGTAATACGAAGTGTTTTTGTATCAAAAGTGAATGAATTACACTTTCACTTGCCATTAACAGTCTACTTCAGTCATGAGTATATAGCCAAGGTTATTAAGGTTTGTGAGTTTTACAACTATATGTTGTCAACATTAAGTGGGTTCTATCACATAAAGAAGGGTAGGGGCCCTTAGATGAACTGATGTCAGTCGAATCTGTTTCTAGCCATGGATCCCTGCTGTATTTTAGAAAGCCCCATGTCACCAGACCCCCCGCCTCCGGGGTAATTAGTTCTTTGGGTCTGTCCTAATCAGACCTTCCACACTGCTGCCTTCTCAGCCCACCCTCCCTTCTCAGGCCTTCGCAGAGCCCCCTTCATGTTCAGGATGCAGCTCCAAGCCCTAAAATGGCAAACAGGGTTCTTCGCATTCTGCCTTCATTCCCCTTTCCATCACTTCCTTGCACAGCCTCAGTACGTGTTCCAGGCATGCCGGCTTTTGTGTAGTGCCCTGAATGAGGTGAGCCCTATCTCGTATCTGTCTGTCTGTACAGGTATTACTCCTTCTGTCCAAGAGCCAGGGAACAGTGTGCCAGGGCAAAGCAGAAAGATGAAGGACATGGCCACCGTCTTCCCTCCTTGTCTCTCTGGGGGGGCGGGCGGGAGGGACTGTGCACTTCCTATCTTCCCACAGCCCTTCATGGGCTGTACTTGATCATTACATGTCCCCCACCACCCACTAAATTGTGAATTCCTGAAGGTGCTTTTGCACAGCATGTTTCTGTCTCAGAGCCACTGCACCTGCTGTGCTTTCTTCCAAGGAGTTTTCCCGAGATAGTCTCGTGGCTCAAGTGTCACCTCCACCTGAGACAGCAATCCTCCTCGCCTTGCTTTGTCTTCATAGCACATGTCACGACCCTGTAGTGTGTTTTCTGTATTCGTTTAGTGTAGCTCCCTCTGCACCATGCAGAGTATTGCCTGTTTTCTTGACCGGTGGGTGTGTCCTCAGCCCTTAGGACAGTGCCTGGCACCTCAACAAATGTTTGTTGATTGAATGAATGTGAAGGTTGTGATTGTCTTCTTTGTACCTCCACCATGGCATGTGATACCTCTTAACACAGCTCTTACATAGAATAAGTTAAACTGCTTGTTGCGGAATTAGTCATTTTTTTACGGCCTGACTTGGAAAATTTTACTCTTAAAAATTTGGAAAATAGAGTATTTTCCTGGAGATTTTGACGAAAAGCATAATTTAGGAAAAATTTAAAGCCATCCACTGTTAATATCATTGTAATTATATTACCTCATCGGTGATGGAATGTTAGGAAGAAAATGTTTTAAAACTTTTGAGTTGGCCCACCTTAGACATAGCAACCCATCAGGTTTGATTATAATCTGTCTTCAGGGATTAATGGCCAGTGATTTTGAATTAAAGAGAAACGATTCCATTAAAAGCTTTCGTACCAAGCCTGATGAGGGATTTACTTAGTCAAGAAACTTTGGTATGAAAGCCAAACGAAGACATGTCTAAAGAGAAAAAGTGATCCTTTTGGACTTAAAGAATGAAGTGATAGTATATGCATCTACATCCTGGAGTCTGGCTTCTGGCTGTGGGCCCAGTCTCAAAAGTGTCCCCTTAGGACTTTTCTATCCTGACTGCAAAGTGGCCGGCCTTTTACAGGTTATGGGAAGAGTGGAGAATGGAGCTAACATTTACTAAGTGGATTAGCGCTTTTATTTCTCAGAACATGCCTATGAATTGACATTAGCCTTATTTTGAGGTGAAGAAACTGAGGTTCAAAGAGGTTTAATAGCTCACCTGACATTGTTGGGCTAGAAAGAGGTAGAGCAGGGCATGGATGTGAACTCCAGTCCGAGTGCCTCCACAACTCTTGATTTGACCCACCTCCGCAGACTGAGTTGTGGCCATGTTCCTGAGATTTGCGCAGCATGCGACTCAGGCGACCGGAGTGTGTACGCGGAGCCCTGCCTGTGGTCACAGAGGCCTGGTACCAGCTACTCACTTACCTGGAGGCCATTGTGGGGTGCAGCTGGGGTCTGCGTTTAAAATGTAGGAGCACTTTGAGGAGTTACTGTAAAAAACAAAACAAAACAAAACAAAACCTTCTAAGGTTGAATAATGAGATGGATCTTCCCTAAGAGAATTGGTGTGTCCTTTGAGCCATTGGGTGATTTTCACTGATTTAGGCCATTTGGGTTCTGTTCTTTCATTTCCATATTCTGTAGGTTTTCAGTTCTAATGAAACAGGATGTGTTTCCTGGATGGGACTGATCGAGGCTGAACTAGTATTTATTAGGTTGTCGGAAAAGTCATGATGTAGTTTTTCTATGTTTTTCATTGCAAAAATGTGTCATGACTTTTCCACCAACCCAATATTTTCTGTCTAATCATATTTAGGAAGAAACGTCTGAAAATGCACTCTGGCAATGGTTACTGAGGACCTAAGACTTTTTTTTCCTTTTGCTTAATATGCACATCATAAATAATAATCACTTACTAAACTGTCTAAGAAATGTGTGCACATTTTTATATGGCATAGCTCCCTCCTTCTCCCATTCCTACATAGCAATAAAATAATTGGTATTTCAGTTCAGTCAGGTTTTGAAATGTCAGTATTGCTCAATTGTTTTTCAGCATGAAATATATAAATAATTCTTAAGCTGAGTTTTAGGAAAAAACAAACTTAATAGTCACTACCTCGTGCCCTAGACTGCTTTCTAGAATTTCTTAGCAGAGCTAGACTCAAGTTTGCTGCTGTTGAATTTGAGGACCTACTTGGCTTCCTTGATTTATATTTGTATTTAATTTGTATTTATATTGGTGTGTAAACTACAGATCTTTGACTACTGTATTGCCTTTATCTCCTTGTTTTCAAGATGTGTGTTTTCCAATTTGGAGCACCCCATTAATGTGTTTTTGCATACTGTACCTCTTACATTTATAGGTGTATTTGTCAAACCTTGTATGAGAAGATCACAATCTTAGTGACTCATCAGTTGCAGTACCTAAAAGCTGCAAGTCAGATTCTGATATTGAAAGATGTAAGTAATTTCGAGAAGTGTATGGAGCTTGTTAGCTCTCAGGTGTATTGAAGGCAAGGCCTTCCAGGAGGTCACTCTCCTTGCGTTAGATGTAAAATTCTTCTCTCTCCCATTTTCCGTCCCTCTCTTCTCAGAGCTGCTATCCATCCTTTGAGGAAGAATGCAAAGACATGTAGAAATGTTACTGTTATATCCTAAGGCCTGTACCTTAATGTATATAAAATTGCTCCCTCAGAGTTACTGAATTAAAATTATTCTAGTGAAATTAAGGATAATGATGCTACTTTATTTAGAACTTTTTATTTTCCTCTTCCACGACTTAAGTCAAAGTATTATTTGGAAACTAGAGATACAAAGACATGTTTGTTTCCATTGGATTGTCTTACAGGGTTTCCCTAAAGAGTGTCTTCCATTCATTACAGAAGCATGATTGGATAGCCAAGCACCCCTGCCTGGTCAGGGACACCCACTGTCCTATAGTCAGTTGCTAGTCTCACTGCACAGGGCTTTTCACATGCCCGGTTCATGTGAGAGCCTGTTCAGCTATAAGACAAGTCCCTGCCATCATGGGCTTCCATCCTTATGGGGACAGATGTGACGAAAGGGGTAGAGGGGTGGGGGCTGATATGACTTCCCCCCTGAGGAGGTGGTGCCTCACGTGACCTGAGTGACATGAAGGCGCTGGCCATGCAGTAACCTGGGGGAGGGGCACTGGGAGGGGGTCCAGAGGCAGCATCCTGAGGGAGGAACTGACCTGGCATGTTGGAGGAGCAGCAGGAAGGCTAGTGTGGCTGAGGCAGAGTGAGCAGGGGGGCACGGAGGGAGATGGGCTGAAAGCGGTGGTAGCAGCCCCTGAAGTGGGATGGAAGCCATTGGATGGTCCAGAGCACAGGAATGATGTGATCTGATGCGTGATTTTAAAAGATCCCTCTTGATGTTCACAGGAGGGGCCATAGCAGAAACTATTACAAGTCTTAGTAAAGTTCAGGAGATAGAAGTAAGGGCTTAGGCTAGTGTTGTATCAGTTTCTAGAGCTGCCATAATAAAGTACCACAAACTGGGTGGCTTAAAACAACAGAAATATTTTCTTATTATTCTGGAAGCTACAAGTTCAAAGTCAAGGTGCTGGTAGGGCCATGCTGTCACTGAAGGCTCTAGGGGGGGATCCTTCCTTGCCTCTTCCAAGCTCCTGGTGTTCGCCAGCAATCCTTGGTGTTCCTTGGCTTGTAGCTGCTGCACTTCCATCGCTGTCTCCATTGTCACATGGCATTGTCCCTGTGTCTGTATGAGTCTCTTCTCTTATAAGGACACCAGTCATTGGATTTAGGGCCCGCCTTACTCCAGTGTGACCTCATCTTAACTTGATTACATCTGCAAAGACCCTATTTCCATATAAGGTCGCATTCACAGGTATAATGGTCAGGACTTGAACATATCTTTTGCGGGAGGGATGGGGAGTGGGGAGGTGTGGGGGGGCTACTATTCAACCCACAACAGCTAGCATGGTTGCAGGGGTAAAGGTTCGTGAGGATTTTTAAGGCTTAGTGGTTGTTTGCCTCTGTGTCTTAGTACCTCCATCATTAACCCTTGTCGGTTCCAACAGGCCCTTTGTCAAATACCTCACTTCACCAATGGAATTTGTGCCTTAAGAAAGATTATAAAAAGGCAGAATTGCTATATCTTTAGAAGCAGTTCCATGTGTTGACTCTTCCCTACTCCTCCAGGGGTAGGGAGCTCAGATTCCTCAAACTTGGGAACAATGAAGTTCATGTGCAGAGGGGTGAGACCAGTGTGGTAGAACCCCGGTGTTGGCAGTATTATGAGTACAGAATCAGCAGGCAGGAGAATAACCTATTGAGCCAGTTCCTGGATATTTTGGGGGGTTACCTTATTGCTTTTGAGGACTTCACCCCTGATGTTAGTACTATCAAAACAACCATTTGTCCACTGGTGAGCACCCCTGGGGATTCATCCTTACTATTTGTTTCGTCCCTCTCTAACAGCAGAGAGACCTTGGCTGCCCCCTCGTCCCCTCTTGGAATTGTCAGTGCTTGGCTGCTGAGTAAAACCGCTGTCTCTACACCATAGTCATTTTCTTGTGCATTTTGCAGATACTTAAATGGAAAGTGGTCGTTTCATTAAATAAGGTGTATGAATTTTGCCTCCCAAATGGAACAAGACACACTATATCATAAATAATTTTCTAATTCTGTAGTATCAAATGGTTCCCAAGAGTTTCGTTGGGTTTTTCTTAGTGGACCCCCTGGGGGGATGGGCTGAGAGGGCTGCAGGGGGGCTGGGCCACCTTCCTCCTGACCTGCCATAACCAGGGCTGCCCTTCTTTGATTTGTTTTGCGTCCTGGGATTGTGCCTAATACTATGTTTACCACTGAATAAATAAGCCAAGTCTTGTTTCACAGGGTAAGAAAATAGTGAAAATGTCTGCACATTATTCGATATAACTTGGTAAGGAGGGGAAACTATGTAATGAGGTGTCACATACATTAAAAAAAAATTGTTTGATTGGCTATAACCTCAGCGGTTGCCTGATTTGGGAAGACCTGGTTGGCTGCTTGTGGCTCTTAAGTTTCATCTTCTCAGATTTGAGTGCATTGACTCTGACTTAGGTTTTGGTTTTCTTGTATGGGCTACTGAGGCATTAGAGCCGCCACAGCCTTATAGCCTGCTTGTTTCATTACTTTAGCACATGGAATATTGAATGTTGAGTTGCTAACTTCCTGAGTTTCATGGGCAGTTTTAGAGTAAAGACCATGAAGGTGCAGCTCATGGGTTTTATGTATACAGGGCTAGTTCCCACACATCTTGTCTCATTGGTGCACATGATACTATGACAATGGTCAGGAAGATTTGATGAGTGACTCTTAACCTATGCAGAAGTGCTTACACCCACCTCCGTGTCAATCTTAAGTCCCCCCCCACCCCCAGAATATCCTCCCCAATTGACTTCTTTTATTTATTTATTATTATTATTTTTATTATTATTAGTTTCAGGTGTACAAAACAATGCAATAGTTATGCTTTTCTCCCCTCACAAAGTGACAACTCCCCTCCCCACATCCACTGCCCCCTCACCCCCGATATCATGCATATCTGTTACAATTCCATTGACTCCACTCCCACACTATACTCCACATCCCATGACTATGTATGTATTAAATTATAGTTGACATACAGTATTATTCAACGGCAGCTTCAGGTATACAGTGCAGTGGTCAGGCCTCTACACTGTCCATGAAGTGTTGACTCTTCTTTTAAATTTTGCTTGTTACATGAGATTTAACTCAATTTTCACGTTGTTTAAAAAACCTGTACTGCTACTACCACCAACATCTATACTCTCTGCTTCCTTAAATGACCGTAGCAGTGATGTCAATGATTTCCATTTTTTTTTTTTTAAAGATTTTTATTGAGGAATTGGGAGGATGGGAACAGTGCTGGGGAATTAGGGGAAGGGGAGCAGACAAGTTGCTGTTGTTTTGTTTTTCAGTCTAGTTGTGGAGGACGTTGCTTCATTGGCCCAAGTTGGCACCATCATTGCGCTCTTCCCAGGCGAGGCACATCAGTCGTCGGCTTCTGGACGGCCGCTCGCTGCGGCTGCTGGCCGCTGACGCTGGCTGCTGGCTACACACGGTAGCCCATGGCAACCCACTGCCACAGGGGCTGCAGCCTACGCTGTCGCCGGCGACTCACTGCAGCCCAGCTCCAGGTTGAGCTGTTGTTCAGCATCTTAGCTGTAGAGGGCAGTGTCACTGGCCCTCATATGTGGGATCCGAACCGGGGCCCTCTGGCGTCCCAAGCCAGTTCTTAACCATCGCGCCACTCGGCCGGCCCAATGATTTCCATTTTTAACATATGCTCACACATTTCTTTTATACCCTCTGTGCACCTAACACAGGGTTTGGCAGAGAACAGAATGCCCAGTTTTGTGTCAAGTTAAATGGAACTAGATTTGTCAACCAGAATTTCAGACCTAAGGATAATTTTCCTTATGAAAATAATAATTTAAGGTCAATTAACTTTTCTTGATTAGAGTTAGATTAGATTGGTATTATCAAATGCAAATGTATTTTTCTCAAATTCTTTATTTTTATTTTAGGGCAAAATGGTGCAAAAGGGGACATACACTGAGTTTCTGAAATCTGGGGTAGATTTTGGTTCCCTTTTAAAGAAGGAAAATGAGGAGGCTGAACAACCTTCCATGCCAGAAAGTCCCACGCCGAGGAATCGGACCTTCTCGGAATCTTCGGTTTGGTCTCAGCAGTCTTCTAGACCCTCATTGAAAGATGGTGCCCCAGAGACCCAAGCTGTGAGTTTGGTCGTCTTGCCACATGCCCTGGTTCTCTCTGCTCTCAGTGGCCTCTTGGATCTTCATTCTGCTCTGCTCGTGACATCTTTGTCCCAAAGCAGATCCTAAGGTTCCAGGGCCTTGTTCCATGGAATTTGTAGAATTAAAACAGAACAAAGGGAGCACGCCTGATTGGGGTTCTCCTTTGGGTATCGGTTGGAGAATCTTATGGAGATCAGTAGTGAGTGAGTGGACTGCTATACGCTTGTAGGTATAGGTGGCTCACGCTGGTAGTAGAACCCTTGAATTGATCCTAGGTCAGTCCTACTTGCTGAGATGGCCCCAGGCTTTCCTTTTGCACCCAGAGGCTTAAAGACCCCTTCAGACTGCGTCCTGCTGTAGCCCACATTACGTCAGCTACTTTTCCTACATGTGGGAATGTTCTGGTGCCACAGATGACTGAGAGTATTATCCTGCCCCAGTGCCAGATGGTTTGTGGCAGGCCAGAAGTAGCGCATGTAAAGGACCTGGTCACAGTAGACGCTTTAGAGTTAGTTCCCATCTTCCTTTCTTACCTTTCAAGACTGAAAAAACACATCTTATCCATCTTTGAATCCCCAGTGGCCAGCTTAGAACCCAGGACATCCTTGGCTCATGTGAATCTCTAATGCATTCTCTTAAGTCCTCCAGACAAAAGTGCAGAAACTCACTAGCTCTCCCTAAAAAAATACACAGGTATTTCTCAGTAGCCGAATCCAGGAGCCTGGATGATTCTGATAAGTATTCAGATTAGTCTCTCACATTTCAAACTCAGGAATCACTCTCTAAAATTCAGGAACCAAATTGATTTGGAACATAGGCTCTCCTACCTATATCCAAACTCTTACTACTCCATTTTACTGCTTAAACTCACTTTACTGTATTTGCCTAACATTATGAGCCCCTACTTTGTTTTATGTTTCCATCATTGAGCGAAACAAATAATTTAGAGCAATACATTAGCTACGTATCATTGTATATTATTTTGGGACTCATTTCTGCATTTATACATGAATTGGGTTTGTTGTGCCTGTGCTGGAAATCATGATGTTCTACTTTAAGCAAAGCCACGCAACAGTGATAACCTTGTGCAAGTGATATCTCCTTATTTCTAAAGATTCCTAGAAGTGGGATGGCTGGGTCCATGAGTAAATGCATGTATGGTATGGCTAGATATTCCTACACCCTTGTCAGTAGGAGATGTACCATTTTGCGCTCCTATCAGTGTGTCAAATGTGTGTGTTTTCCCATAGCTTTGTCAATGGAGTGCATTGTTGAACTTTTGAAATTTTGGGGTTCATTTTTAAAAATTTTGTCTCTCACTGCCTTTTTTCCTTCCCAGATTGAGAATATACAGGGTACAGCAACCGAGGAGAGCCGTTCTGAAGGAAAAATTGGTCTTAAGGCCTACAAGAATTACATCACAGCTGGTACTCACTGGTTTATCATCATTTTCCTTATTCTAGCAAATGCCACAGCTCAGGTGAGTAAGGACATTTGTTTTGTGCTGTTAGCTTAAAATTTACAGTAGCATTTATATTCATACTGTATTTGTTTATTTATTTATATTTAAGATTTTATTGGGGAATTGGGGGAGGGGAACAGTGTTGGGGAATTGGGGAAGGGGAACAGCCAAGTTGTCCTTCAGTCTTAGCTGTGGAGGGCGCAGCAAGCTCAGTTCCAAGTCTAGTCACTCTGCTCAGCTCAAGGTGCTGTGTTCAATTAGTTGCTGGTGGGTGTAGCCACCATGCCATGCGGGAGTCGAACCAGTAGCCTCGTTGTTAAGGATGCACACTCTATCCATTGAGCCATCCAGGTGGCAGCTCAGCTCACGGTGCCGAGTTCAGTCTTAGTTGCAGGTGGACGTAGCCACCATCCCATGTGGGAGTCTAATCGGCAACCTTGTTATTAAGAGCGCGCGCTTTATTCCCTGAGCCACCCAGGCGGCAGCTCAGCTGAAGGTGCCGAGTTCAGTCTTTAGTTGCGGGAGGGCGTAGCCCACCATCTCAAATAGGCAACCTTGTTGTTAGGAGCTCGTGCTCTCATCAGCTGAGCCACCCTGCCATGTGTTGCAGCTCAGGTTGGGCGCAGCTCACTGTCCCATGTGGGAATCTAACTGGCAACCCTGTGGCTTAGAACTCGCACTCTTCAGCAAGCTCTTAACCAACTGAGCCACTTGGCCTGCCCTGTATTTATTTATATTGCTGTATTTTGCAGTCCCCTTGGATTTGCAATGAAATGGGCTATCTGTGGGAAACAAAATAAGTGAGGCTTACTGGTGTTGAGTGTACATTACAAAAGGCTTCCAGGATAAAAAGGATGTTATTTAGATATTTTAAAATGTAACATGCCCTTACTTGACTTGTTGTTCTCTGGCATGTTGGGCTTGGCACAACCTTGACCTGAGCTGGAAGGACCATCTCCCTTTTCTGGAGCCTTTTCGGTCTCCATTTTATTAGTAAGGGAGAGTTTTGAGCTGGTGAGTGATGTTAGCATTTGATGGTTGTGTTTGTTTCCCTACTCTAGGTTGCCTACGTTCTTCAGGATTGGTGGCTTTCCTACTGGTGAGTTATTTCTGGTCTTGACCACAAGGTGCTATAAAATTGAAATGAAGCCTCGCTTTCTCACAGAGTCAGGGGGTGGGGTGGGCTTTGTTCAGCCTGCTCTTCTAATCCTCACTTGGTTCCCCTGAAGAAAAATTAAAGTTCTTGCTGGTGGAGTGTGACCCTCCCATGGTTTCGACTCCGGTCTGATCCTCAGCAGCATCTTCACAGACAATTTTTGAGAACTCAGAGTCATGAGTCACATTGAATTTTTATAAGGTAGATACACACAGGACCCTGCGAGCTGGAAGTCATCTTCCAGCATAAAACATATCTCCCAAGTGGAGGTTAAGTTTATTTTCTTCCTTTGTGTTTATCTAAATTCCATCTACAGTTTAATATTTTTTTTTCTTCCCTGGTCTGTAGGGCAAACGAACAGCGTGCCCTGAACATCACTGTAAATGGAAAAGGAAATGTAACTGAGAAGCTCGATCTTAACTGGTACTTAGGAATTTATTCAGGTAAAGTGTAATCATTTGGTCTATTATATGAGAGTCTGAGGTGCTTACAATGAGCCTGTGTGAGTAACTAGGCTTCCAGGAGTAATTCAGTAATGTCTTAACAGATTAAGAGTCTGAGGCGCATTTACTCGGTGAATTAATTAGAATAATTATTTTTTAAAATCTACTGGAAGAAAGAGGTTCAATGAAGAATCTTAATTTGCTCTGTACTGGATTTTGGAAGTTAAACCGGGGTTGAGCATTCAGAAAATCAGCCACTGGAAATATGTGGCTATTGTCTATTCTAATAGGTTGCTTTTGCTAAATCTTATATTATTATATGGATGGGCAAGGGGATTAGAAACGGATCCCCACCCTCTGGTTCGGATTGTTCCAATTCTGTTTGAATAAACCCTGGCTTTTGTTGAACTTGGATGAAATCCGCTGGCAGCAAGGCCCCCCAAATAAAAGCATTATTCCTTCGCAGGTATGCAAAGCTCCCTTCACCATATTGCTCATCTCTTGGGCTTCACTAATTACTTAAGAGGGAAGCTAAGCAGGGCAAAATCCAGTGTCTGGGAATTAGGCTTCCTTCTCTTTCTTACCTTGAGATCACAATGTTATCGCCTTCCCAACTGTGTGAGTAATTTAACATTTGGCTTGCCAGACTAATAGTTAACACAGTGCTCTGTTTTCACGAGAGTGCTTAGAATATATGTAGCATTACGTACTTTTTAAAGGAAATCCTCATCTAAAATTTTAAATATCCCCACAGGAAATGCTCATACAAGTTTTCCTTGAAGATAGAGCGAGTTATCTTTGTAAGAACCTACTCATTGAAATTTGGTATTTATTGCGTTGATCACTTGTTAAGAAATCTAAATCCATTAGCTGTTTACCTTCCGAATTGGTGGACTATGGGAGACCTAAAGAATAAAGGAAAATGGTTCTGTTATATATTCATGTGGGCTAGAGAAAATGCCTGCCTGTTGACAGAATTTAGGAATTTGAGCAGCTTTCAGAGTTTAAAAAAGAGTGATGTGTCATCTGAAGGGGAAAAAAGTACTTGATGGAATATTTATTATGAAAGTTATCCCCACTGTATTTACAATAGCATTGTGAGTCTGAGAGATGGTAGGGGAGATGTTTTAATTTTTAAATGCATAGTAGGTATTCATTTATGTCATTAATAAAATAGATAAATGATTATGTTCATTTGAAAATGCTTTGTGTTATAGAAACCACTTAACAAGAGATGAGTTTCTCATTTAGATTAATTATCTCATGTTAAAATTAATTTATATATTTTTGCAATTCAATTAGGAGGTTTTCTCCTTGCAACTTAATATGGTATTTACATATTCTTTAAAGGTATTTGGGCATTTATTAAAAGGAAATGGTCAATCTTTTCCCTGTTCCTTGTTAATATCACATGCTGGTATCAAAACACCAGTTTTAGAGCCTGAGACCTATTGTAAGTTGTAAGATTTGGAATATGGGGAAGGGAAGAGCAACTGCTTTTTATAATTGTCTTTTGAGTTTTTAATGGAACTTGTAATTGAATTAGGAAAGAATAGAATGAAATTGTACTTGACACCTGATTCTTTTTCCCCAGGTAGTTTCTATTTAATGAGAGAAAAAGAAATTATTTTATGTTCTTCTTTATAAATGTATCTGGTGAATGCATTAAACTCTTAATAGAATTCAGATCCTTTATGGAATAAAATACGTAACATCTTTATGAACTGCCTGTAATATTTTAGCTTTGTGAAAGAAAATGCAGAAATCCTGTGCTCTCTGAGTGATGTTTCTTTATTTCAGGTTTAACAATAGCTACTGTCATTTTCGGCATAGCAAGATCGCTGTTGGTATTCTACGTCCTTGTTAATTCTTCACAAGCTTTACACAACAGAATGTTTGAGTCCATTTTGAAAGCTCCAGTATTGTTTTTTGATAGAAATCCAGTAGGTAAGTCAGATACCAAGTTTCTCAGTCAATATGTCTTATTAACATATTTAGCGTCTGATTGCAATTCAGTATTTGAAAGTGGAGATGATGCTTGGAAGAAAATCACTATGCGTGTTGATTCATTTTCTACAAAAAGCTTCACTGACATGTTTCTTCGACCAGAGGAAACCTGAATGGAGAGGGCATACAAGCTTTTATTCCAATTTATGTGTGTGTGTGGAAAAACTAACTGAATGTTCACTTGGCAGAATGATTGAGGAATCCATTTGATGTATGGCATACGAAACCCTAAATTTAGTGCAAACATGTTTAAATGTAGTTGACTAGCTGCTTAAACATTGGCTGTATCATGTAGTGTTACATAAGCTAGGTCATCCTTTAGGAAGGACCTTGTGTGCGTTTCTTCTTTTTTCCATTGTCCCTCCGTTTCTGGAACCACAGAGCCCTTGCATGTGATCTGTGAGGTTTATCTAAAGTGATAATGAAAAATTAATTAAAACCTAAGGTGGATAAAATGCAAACTTCCTCTTCAATAAAAGTTATTGACTTCGTAGTTTTAAAGTAAACTTTTGGTTACATACTAGAGGCTTGCTTGTATCTGCCATGTGGGTCTTTAGTAGTAAGTTCTTGATATGAGTGTACCCAAGTGATTGATAACCATATTTTGCTGTGTATAATGTGCACTTTTTTGCCGAAATGTGTGAGGGAAAAATAAGGATGTGCCTTATAATGGGCATTACTAATTCCTTATCTACATAAATGTTTTTAATTCTTTTATTTATGCTTATGAGTTAAAAGTGTAACTCTAGAAATCAATAATGATATCTGTATGCCAAATAATACCCTGGAATATAATCATCGGTTTTGTTGAACTTCTGACAAACTTGCAACGATGGAGTTCTTGGCCTTCTATGATGCATAAATATCATACATTTGTTACCGGTACATAAAATTTCTTGTACCTTTTATCTGTTCTTGTGTTTTGTAATTATTTGTTCATACAATTTCTTGTACCATAATATGTTAAAAAATAAATGCTGAAATTCTTTTATAATACAAAAAACAAGTACTTAAATGTAAGCAAATAAAAATTTGAATTAAAAAATTAAAAATCTTCCACGAAAGATTTTTCCCTGAAAGTTTGGGCCAAAAACTTTGGGTGTGCATTATACACGGCAAAATACAGGACCTTCGCCCTGAGGCCTTTGGCTTGTCTTGCTTCTGAGGGTAGCTTCCCGACCTGGGTTCCTAGGAAGAGTTAGTTCATCAACATACATCCCCACTCTGTTCAGCTGCTTAGATTTGTGGTGAGGCCCAGTGTGGCTTTGTTCTTGCAGGTAATAATGGACAGAACCTGTCGAGGCAGGGAAGTGGGCTGGAGGGAGTTCATGAGCAGCTTTGGTCTGGCCATGAAGTCACCATGTGACCCAGGCCAGAGCACGGAGATACTATTGGGGAGGCACATCTCAAAGCAGGATGTTGTTGTGGTTAAAAGTATGGACTCTGGAGCCCGCTGCCTGGCTTCAGTCTTGGTGCTTGTTACTAAGTAACAGCTGGTTATAGTTACATTAGTATTTATGTGCTAGTTACTTAATTTCTCTGTGCCCCAGTTTTCTTATCCGTAAGTTGGGGATGCTGTTCACACCTGCCTTATTAAGATATTGTGGAATTAAGCAGGTTAATATATGCACAGTGCTTAGATCAAGGCTTAGGGCATGGCCAGTGCCTGATGAATCTTAGCGACAATGACGACCTCTCGGAACTTCCTCACCCGTGAAACGGAAACAGCTGCTGCTGCTCTTCCTGTTACACAAGACTGTCGTGAGGACTAAAGAAGACTCTTCTCGAAAGCACCTTGTGAAGATTTAATCAACACATGGTTAGCCCCGGCACTGTCCGAAGCACAAGGAATTATACACTGCAGGGGCCCACACAAATCTACAGTCTTATTATAGCTGTAGTTAGAAAGTGATTGGAGGACTTATGTACTATTAAGGCCATAAAGTCGTTCCACTTGGCCAGTTAATTTGAAAACTACAGTTAAAAACTTTGGAGCATTAAGTGGGACTGAATTTCTGTTATCACAGCCCGTGAATGCTCGTGACCACAGTTAACCAGACTCTGCATGTTCAAGACCTGTAGGCTTCTCCATGTGTCGGTTTATTTATTATTCAAGGATTTAGACCATGTCTAAGTCTCCAAGGTTGCTAATCTTAGAGCAGCACAGGGGCGCTTATCTTGCCTCCTACTCCTGTATCTATTGGCAGGACTTTATTCCTTCAAGAAAATAGAAGCCCAGGTAAGTACTCCGAAGGCAGGCCTACTTTGCCCAGACTGCTTAGAGACCATGAAGTATTTACTCTTTTAGTGGTAGAGTAAAAGGTGCTTTTCACTGAAGAAATTTTTTACATGGTAGATTTTAATTTTCCATTTGGATAAAATCTTTGTACTTTTTATAGTGGGAAGAACAAGCCAGAGCTAGAATGATGCCTCATAGTTGGCATTATTGATTGTATATACTTTAATAGTTATATAATATTAAAAAAAAAAATCAAAACATGCTCGACTTTTAAGCTTCGTTAAATGTATACAAGCGCCCAGCATAAAGTTGCCGCCCCAGAGTGCAGAGCATGTTCTCTGAGCAGCACAGAGAGATCAGGAAGTATATCTTTTTCTTCTCAATACGTTGTTATTTAGAGCACGCTTTCAGAGATACCCAGTGGCCGGTATGTTTCTTATGAGCTCAGGATCCTGCCGACCTCCCAAATTTTAGAGAACTGAGGGGACAGAAGGCCTTTTGCCAGTGTATACAGAAGCTCCTTAGCTTCTGATGGGGTTATGTGCTGATAAACCCATGATAAGTTGAAAATCATGTTAAGTTGAAAATACATTTAATACACCTAACCTACCAAACATCATAGCTTAGCCTCACCTCCCTTAAATGTGCTTAGGACCCTTATGTCAGCCTACAATTTGGCAAAATCATCTCCTTGCTGCTGCTCAGGATCACAAGAGATTATTGTATTGCATATCAATAGGCTGGAAAAAGAACAAAATTCAAAATTCGGCATATGATTTCTTCCGAATGTGTATCACTTTGTTGCACCATCATAAAGTCGAAAAATTCGAAGTCCAAAAATTGTTATGTCCAGCCATTGTAAGTTGGGGACCATCTATAGTTTCCAGCAAACTCAACTTGGGTGGTTGCTGGTACAGAAACTGGCAACTCCAGGCAGAGTCCCAGCGGATCTGCCGAACCACAGCCCAGCTTGGATTTGAGGAGGTCTTGCCAGAGTTCCCGTCTGTACCCATCTCCATCCTGCAGGTGCCGGAAAAGTCTCAGTAACCCTGGTCTGGATAATAGAAGTGTCTTTTACACTCATTCATGGGTACCGCACCCCAGATGTGTTGTTTCCCTTCTTGTGTTCCCTCTAATATCCTCATGCGTTTTGTTAATCAGCGGGGGCCCTTTGCAGTTATGCAGATAACTAGGCCTTTAGTGGAGGGCCTAAAACACTGGTAGCCCCACTGAAGTCCCATGTTCATTTACTTGGATTTAAGGAGAAGTACAAGGTAAACCTGAAAAGTGCATATTTCTTCTCAGTAACAAAGTTTCTCTGACACAGTTTAACCATTCCAGAGAGCAGATTTTTAAGGAAGTTCCATTGCTGCAGCCTACATGACTAAGTTACTGTCCATTTTCTATATATATATATATATATATATATATATATATATATATATATATATATAGTCGCATGAAATTTACTTCATTTGTCTATGATTCAATGCCTTATTGTCTACTGATTTTTCATAACCTAATAAATTAGCTATTAATATTTGGGTAAAATTTGAATCAATTAGTGTGTGGTCTTAGAATGACAAACGCTGGTTTTCGTTTTCTTCTGTTTTACCTTCCTTCCTCTCACCAATCTCTATTTTTTTTATCTTCCCCTCCTAAGATGTATTTCGGTAACAGTATTGTGTGTGTCTGTTAAAGAGCCACACATTTTCAGCCGCCCCGACATTTCTTACTCATTTTGATTGAAACGAGTTGCAGTGTCTTACAGATGTGACCTGTGTCCCTGTGCTGATGACTGCGTCTGACTCTTCCTAGTCTACATTTGTCTTCGATCATTGTAGCCCCATTTCAGTTCTATCAGATCTTAACACATGGGTAACACAAATCCTGGGTCATTAAGACCCAGAAATTAAGAGATGATTTCTATTTTAAATGTAAATCATGTTTTCCTTGCATGGCCAGAATTCATTTTACTTTTTGCATCTGGCACAAGAGGGCAGCATGATCTGCATTATTTTCAGAGAGCGTCTTATTGCAAAACCTGGTGGTGGTTACTTTAAAGCTTTCCTGGAAATTCCATTTTTATAGTTTGGGTCTTTGTATTTTGTAGTGTTGATATGGAATTTTAAAAGTATTGTCATGATTTATAATGTAAACTCTTTATGTTTATAAAAAATTACAGTGTTGTCTGGAATATCTAGCATCTCAAACAAGGTTATTTGGATTTCTTGATTGATACCTTCTCACCTAGTAACTGGAATAGGCACCCACGGACATCTTTCCTGGGTATATTTTAATTCTAAAGGGTAGAATATGGTCGGTCGTGTGTATGACCTGAGTCAAACATGAGTTCAGGGAGAAATATGACCACACAATTTTTTCAGTTTTGTTCTACGCCATCAGAGTCAGCAGAGACATTTTATTCTTATCAAGTCTCTAGAATTTCACCCTTTGTTTTGGAGACAAGATGAGTGGATAGTTGTCTTGTTTTTTTCATGCCTAATTATGGTGACATAACACTTGGCTGAGAGTGTTGACTGCGATGGATTCCAGATAAATATTTATTTATTTGCTTTCAATTTGTTAATTTGTCTTTAAGAAACTGAGCGCTGGTGTCAGTAGATGCTGTGTTTGTTTATTTTCTCAGGGAAGTGCAAAGTTAACATTGGGCTGTGGCCAGTATGCTCATTTCATAGGA